ATTCTGAATCGAGTGGTCGCGCCAGTTTTTCAGTTTGAGCGATGGTTTTGCCGGTATGAGGTGTAAAGGCTGCATGGGGAAGTAGTGGTAATGCATATTTCCACACTCCAGGGAAAGATTCATTCTTAAATTTCATCTAGTATGTCCTTGCTGACTGGGGGTCGATGTGCTCACCCCGGTCACTTCTCGTGGCGCTGCTTGCTTCCATTTGAGGTATGATCGGCATCATCACTGCTAGCGGCCATCGCCTGATTGAGACTGTCGGGGTGATAGGGCCGCTCTTTGCCATCATGATTAGGCTGCTACTGTGCATTGATCATTCTCTTGAACTTGTATTTCTTCCATCGTCCCTGTGCTCGTGCTCTTCTCCACCATTATGCTCTCGTTACTAGACTCACTACCTCGGTATTCACGGTGATGTTACACACTCCCGGTGGTTGCCCTCCTCACACGAAAGTCGGAGAGAATGAATGAATCTGGTCGGGGTGTCGGCCAGATACATTGAATGAGAGAGGAAAGACAGACAAAGGGAAGGAAAAAGAGCACATACCTGGCTGATCAAGGCGACCGGGTGGATGAACGGACAGGCGAGCTACAGTGCCAAATAGCATGCACGGTTGGAGAACAACGTATATTTCCATGTTAATATATGTTAATATGAAAAATTCACCCTCTTTTTTATCTCACGCAACCAGCCAGATTGAAAGGAAGCAAGTGCACTAGCGGGCATAGCTAGGAAAGGGAGATTAAAAAGGAAGCAGTGCTTACCTGGAATTTAGCCGCCCCCTTCATGGTACGGGAATGCATCTTTCCATGTTCTAGGCAGTAGGAACTTAGGAAGTAGGCGCGGTGGAAATCTATGAATTTCGGTCGTTTTTCTTTGGCCATTTTGGGCGCGTGAAATTGTTTGTTGGGAGTTTCAGAACGCCCCTCATATGTCTGATGGACATGTCAGAACTTGGATTCAAGGAGTGGATTGGGCGGTACAAGCTGCAGGAGTTGCGCAACCACTAGCACGACTCAGAGAGTATTGGGAGATGGCAATGTATCTTTCCGTGTTCTAAAGGGAGAATCACTCTCTCTTTTCGTAAAATTGGAGAGTACTGATGTGTGGCCCCCGCAACATCTGATAGACAGTCTCATAGCGCATTCGTGACCGTCATCTTCCAGTTACGATCACCTGCCCAATGGTCATGTTCGTTTTCAAGGCCACACCTGCTTTGCACATCTTGGCCCCAATGCTACCCCTCATCTTGGTATCAGATTCTCCAGGCTGTGTTCTTCAGTGAGACTATCAGCTCGAAGCCTTCGCTGTATTTCACAACCTTCACACTGGTAGTAGTCATCAACAATCCTGGAGGCCACGACCATCTTCATGAGTCATGCACTTTCTCTTCACGTTGCTAATGACACAAGCAGATTGAACCGCCCTAGGCCTTGAGCGAGGTACATGGATGCACACACACACACACACACACACACAGAGAGAGAGAGAGAGAGAGAGAGAGAGAGAGAGAGAGAGAGAGAGAGAGAGAGAGAGAGAGAGAG